GATCACGTGTACGCTCCGTTTTTCGCGGTGCTCGCGTAAACGTAAACGAGCGTACACGTGATCGGCGTCTGATCGGACGCGTTCCGGCGTTCTAACTTTCGCGTGATCGATTACGCGGATTTCGCGGAAGGTGCGCGAACAACTATTAAAACTTGCATATTTTTCCAAATGTAAAAGCGAAACATTCGAAAAACATTCTTTTTCGTACATGTATATTTTATATATATATATATATATATATACATGTAAGTGGAATATTTACTGTCATCTGAAGTGGAAACATCAATGCACACATTCTCTATTTGTCGAGCCTTGTCAAATGTATCGTAAGGTCCCAAAATTTTACGATAACTGTAAACTTCCCAATCATCTTCAGGATTTATCTTTTTCTTTACTGCACTGCTGGTATTATATCTAGATGGTGGAATTCGACATTTCTTGTTTTCGGCATCTATCCAATTGCCGGGAACGACTTGACAGAAGTCTTCGCATAATACAACGTAATACATCTGAAATAATACTGATTATGGTAAATATATATATATATATATATGTATAATGATCAATTATGGAAAATACTTGTATTTATTAATAGTAAATAACTCACTTCAATCATCAGTGTGTAGAATGGGGATTGTACAAAATGTATTTTCGTATGGAAGTCGCATCCCTTTGGCAGTTATTTCATTTATTGGATACATTCTATCTTCTGACCATTCATCTCCGATATGGATTCCTAAATGCCGTGAATCACATGGATAGGAAGGAACACTGTAAGAATTTTGCAATATTTTTCCGAGTATAACTGTTTCTCCATTTTTCTTGCCAATATATTTAATCTTGAGAACATGTTTGTTATTTATATAACAGTAAGCATCAGCGTTTTTAATGCAGGACAGTGTAAAGTTTTTAAATTTTGCTTCTCGATAAGAATGTGTACATTCAAATATTATATCAAATATTATATCAAATTATATCAAATAATAATTCTTCATTCTTGGCTTTTTTAAGAATGGGATAATCTTGAGATTCATGTCCAATATTTGTAGTATTTTTGGATTTTTCCATTAGTCGTCTATGCAATTGTTGCAACGGTTGTGCATTTTTCCTGAGCATTTGCTTCATTTCTTGAAAATAATTTTCGAATGGAAAAGCACTAAACATATCGAGACATCCAAAATTCTTAACATCTTCAGGCAAATGAATCAAGTTATGCACATTGTATGTTACGTACTCTTCAGAATACAATACTTTAAATACTTGTACAAAATGTACTAGTAATTCACGTGCATATTCATTATTGTATCTACAATCGCTAGGATTGCAAAGAATGGAAATTGCACAGTGTAGGACATAAAAGTGTTTCAAGTAATCATTTGGCAAATACGACCACAAAGTAGCCAAGCTCGTATATAGGAGAAACAGTCTAAACTCTGTCGCTTTCCAGCGATCCAATTCATCCAAACCTCTTGGTTTTCTAGAAAATTCTTTAGGTATGTATGGTATTAACAGCTTCAAATCTGTAGACAATTGATTTATTTGAGAAGCACGCAATTTAATACCCTTTGTACCTTTAATCCACAATTTTGTAAGTCTTTTCATGACACCGAGACAAACGAGATGCATATAATCCAAGGGAAACTGTGTAACCATTTTCAATGCTATGTTTTCAAAAGGTGAATCATTCATATGATGATCTTCATTGTGTCGTAATAAGAAACTTTCATCCGTACGTAATGGAGCGTTTTCATTGAGACATAACATTCGATTATCCCTCCATTCACCTTCCTCTTCACATTTGTCGCATCCATAGTATCCTGTATGACCTTTAATGCATTTCATGAATGCTTTTGCAGGAGCATCGCATATTACAGTATTTATCAAAATTTTGTATTTTTTCTTTCCATGCTGAAATCCATTATCTTGAATGTCATTATATTCTTCAATAAATTGATGAATGATTTCATCAGGTTTGCTCGGTTTACAATATCCATGAAATACTCCAATGACAAATGGTTTTTCTCTATAATCACTGTGAATAATTTGACCTAAAAGTGGCCAAAACTGTGCTTTTGAACTTTTTGCCAATGGTAATCCGTCAATGCTCAAATTGAGTTTTATTTGATTTTCAGTTGGTTCATACACAGGTCTCGTGTGTCGTAAATGATCGTTCAGTGCTCTCTGCAATCCGTGATAATAAAAAGTACCAGAATGACTATTAATCGTTGACGTTGTTTGTGGAGTTTCTAACAATGTTCGTGCATCACAAGGAAGATTTTTATGTCCATTAGCTCTCAGACCTTTGAGTAATTTTGTAAGAGCTACTTGAGTAATATTATTCTCAACACTCCACAACTGTAGAAATTCTCGTAAGGAAGGTTCTTTCTGTATATTTAAATTTACATCTTCATAACAGTCGATATTATCAACATTCAATTTTGATGCATCAAAATCCGGATTCTTCATAATTTGAATAAGAGTCAGTTCCACATTCGTCAACGTCTTCAGACATATGTACATCGTTATTCGAATAATCATTATTTTCAACAAAAACAATATTGTCAGTCGGATTTCCTTTAGCAATTTCAATTTCAATTTCTACGTTATGATCTGTTTCTTTTCGCCGGCGCCATTGTTGAGACCGACTTAAATTTTCGTACGTTTTCCTTTTCGGCATATCTTTCTACAAAAAAGTTCCACCGATTGAATGACGTGCATTCTTTTTTGTCACTATACATAATATCATAGCCAGTTAGGTCCATATGATTTGCTCATTGTATCGCTTGCGATACGATACGATACGATACTTTGGTACATTTATTGAGTGTGATTTAACGATGGCTGGTATTGTATTTGACGATAATCGGTGCAACGGTTCACTTTATACATACATATATATGCATATTTTCGTTTAAATTCCAGAATAACTTTTTAAATATTCAAGATAGAAAAAAATCTTAAACGCTAAAGTTGCATCGTTTTTACTGGCGCATTTCACAGTAATATCAGTATGACCTTGAATAGCTTTATCAAGGTTATCTAAAGATCAACCTCAAATTTTTATTCCGAACCCTCCTTTTTCATTACATATTCTTGTAGCTTATTTCAATAGCTTCCCAAAACGATATAATAAAGTACGTTTTCATAACTTTTTAACAAACAATGAGCGACGGGAATGGGCAATGACCTTGACCTCCTTGGGGGTCAAGGTCAACATCAAGGTCAAACGGAAGTTGATTGGCGGGTGCTAAGTTAAAGGAAATATTTACCGAAAATATTTATATTATATTAA